TATATATATATATATATATATGCCAAATAATTAACTAAAATCAAGGCTCATACTTTCTCCTTGGTCTACTCAAGATACTTAGAGGAGGCAACTCATGGTGTTGCTGACCCGATTTCTTAGATGTTATAGCTTCTGGCTCTCCAATATTGGCAAGTTGGGATACCCCAGGATGACTGAATTATCGAACCTTGATTCAGTCTACCTCTATTCTCTCTACTATTACCCCAATTAATTAAACCCTATATGCTTAACTTCAAATTGAGTGTATGTAACTATCTTTAATTGAGTGCTATGTTGCAATTTTGTGAGGTAATTAACTTTTTGAGCTTTCGGCCATTGGAAAATTTGACCCTTTATCTAAGTTGTTTCAATGTCCAGAAAAATTCGGTTAAATTAAATGTAATCTATCTCATGAAAAATGAACTCCTAATTTCAAAGATGATATTGTTGTCCTCCTCAGAAACCAAGTTATTGCATTTAAAATTTATTTATTTATTTATTGAGATTCTGAAATTAGTATTGTTTTAGTTATGTATTTTTTTATTAATGCTGTCAGTATAAAACCATTTAAATTGATCTATTTGTAGTTTCAGCCTTTATACTTCCTTGTATTTTTTCCTTTTAAAGCTTCATAATACTAAGTAATTTATTATCATCCACATCTTGAATCAATAATGTTCTCTGTTAATTTTTTTGTATCTTTTCTAATGTTGATTACAGGTTGAGTTGCCAGGATGCAAAGGAATTTGGACGGTGTATCACAAGAGCGCCCGAGGTCATGCAGTTGACGCTCTTAAATCATCAAAAGAGGATGATGAATTTCATGCATATTTGATTATAAGTCTGGAGAGTCGCACCATGGTATTCTCTTGTTTTCCTTTTAATACTTGTTACTTGGCTTAATAGTTTACTGCTTCCTTCTTTTCTTTTCAAAAGTAAAATCTATGAACTATTTAATGGTATTGGTTAAAACACTGTCATAACAAATGCTTGAGGGGAAAAGTATATGAAGGGAAGATCAATTCAATTGTTGAAGCAGCTACATCTTAAGTTTCTAGTATTGAATGATAAGTCTGTTGCATGACGTAATTGCCAGATGTTTTGCTTGAAATGTACTGGTATCTTCTAAACAAGTCATTATTTGTTTAAAAAATGAAATTGTTTGACCATCTAGTACTCTTGATTGTTTAACGACCATCTGTATCAGCATTAAATTCACTGATTTTTCCTTCTTAATTTTTTTTTGTTAAAATGTTAGGGCTAAGCCTTTCGCATTTATAATAATAAAAAGGAGAAATACATAAGGCTCTTTCAAGATGTAGATGTAAACGGCATACTGATATCAAAAGGCAGATGTAAAAAATACAAAGCATACTGAATTTCATTAAGTTCATTTGGGATCAGATCTATCTATCAAGCCTATGTTTTAAGCTATATGTCTGACTTGACTTTGTGTGACTTAATAAGGGTTAGGCTATACTAATATTAAGGTTTAGCCTTAAGTATTCTTCTATACTCTTCTAAAGGTTGGATTGATTAAGTCATGTTCTACGAGACAACCCAAGAGGATCACTTATCTCTCAAGAATGCATTGGCTCAATCTAATGTGAGAAGTCACGAAGCCAAATATTTCAATTTGGGTTGAGGGCCCTCGTAGGGTCATAAATAGGTCAACAACTATGCATCGTGCCCAAAAAACCTTTATTGGTGTGGTAAAAAAACCTACTTATGTTACATTCTTACAAGGGGATGCTAAAGTGGTATTGGATTTCACCCAATTTTTTAAGCATGAAAATAATAAGTTCAAACACCACAATAATTTTACAAACAATAGAAAAAAAGGACTTCATAAAACTACAAATATAAGTAAAACTAACTCTAAAAGGTACAAATTATATAAAAAACTCAAAATGAGGAGCAAAATGAACTCTCACTATTTTTGGTTGTTTTCGAACAATCATAAATAAAAGTCCCTCAACATGCACAGTGAACTTTAAATTGAGTGTGAATTGGCGTGTGACTCTTCTAATTATTGGCTTAAATTTCTTTCACATTGAACCCAATTTAGTATGTACTCGAATAAAATAAAAATAAGATAAAATTAATATGAGCAGTAATCAAAATTTGCATCAATACATGTGCACAATATGAACTCTTCGCATGATAAGGTATGCATTGAAATTCATAAAAATGGATCAAATTGTATAACCTCATGCACATTTAAATGAAAACACTATTTTCAATAAAATAATGATAATTCTATGGACTTAAAATTCAACGTGCATACTCTTCGATCAAAATTCCATCTCGTGTCAAGTTGCATTGAAAATAATGCAAGAATGCTCTGCCCTCTCATTATTTTTTTTGCATTGCATGCACACATGCTCAAACGACCTTAGCAGCTCATAAATGCACTTAATAAAATATTTTTGGACAAAATGATAAAAAGGAGAAATTAAAAAAATCCTAAAAAATATGAAATAATATAAATTTATTTAAAAATTCTCAAAAAATATTATGAGCATTTTTTAAACCTTCTTGTGGCATTTTGAGGCAACCAGCTCTCATTTCTCGCCCAAAAAAATATGAAATATTAAGTTTAAATTATCAGAGCCTCCTTAAAAAAATTTATCTTAATGAGGTCCAAAGTTCAATGCAACCCATATTGTACATTAATGTGGGAATTGAATTTAAAATTTGGACATTTGATTCACTTGGCTCAATATTTTGATAACAAATGGCTATGTTAATATGACCCACAACTTGGCAATGAATAATAAAATTAAGTAATTTTTTTTGGTTCTTGGTATAACCAAATCCCATCCTTCATGATCTTTAGGAACCAATACCATCTTTGTAAATTACAAATGATATGGCGATGTAAGCATATTCTCAATTCGTTTTGACACATTGAAATGATAATTTTACTAATACTTCAAAGTGAAAATTTGTCAATAAAATACAAAATGAAAAGAAATTTGACACTGATTGTTGCAGGCAATTTTGCCTTTTTTTGCATGCTAGTGAAATTACTAGTTCATGATACTAAAAGATGAAATAATGTCAACATAAAAAACTTACGTGTTTTAATGTTTGGAGCTTGATTATGTCGATAAAATTTCAACTCAAATCCCTCACTTTTACTAACCGGTTTGGCTTGAGTTTGTAGAAGGGGTATGGGGGACAACAATCCCCCCTGTAAGGGTTAGGGGTCGGTGGCGCATTTTTTTTTTCATACATAGCGCCTCAAAATTGTATAAGCGTCGCATCACTGCTATAGCAACGTTGAGGCTTTGCTTTGCAGTGTCGCAATCCTAACCCCAGAGGAAAATTTATGCTGAAATCCGAGTGCATGGCGTCGGAATGCCATATTAGGCGGCACAATGCTGTTGTTATTGTGTTGCAGTGTTCAAATCACAACAACACAATGCTGCAAAGCGAGAGTTTGTTTTAAGTAGTTATTTCTGTGATTTCTTTGTGGGATTTCAAATTCTCTTATGCAAGGAGGGGAGCGCGATTATCCTTGTGTGTCCAAAGTGTGAAGAGGCTTAAATGTGGTGTTATTTTCTTTTTTTTTCTTCATAGTTGATTTCTCGGTGTGGTGTGGCTCCGTGGTCTTTTTCTGTTCTTGGGCTTTTCTAAGTTTAATCTGGTATTTTCTATGTATTTTTTATTTTTTATACTTTTATTCAAAGTTTTACTACGGATCTCTCAAATCATTCCCACAATTTGCATCTCCCAACAATGTGATCTTCTGAGACACCTACCTCGATGTTGGGATTGGTTATAGATATTATAATTGAAGGGTTTTACTGAATATCTACCATTGCACCTCATCTTAAATTAAATAGAACTTATAACTCCAATATTTTAATGATGTGATCTTTTATTGCTCATCATAAAATTGATGCTGCGTTTCATTAAAAATGCTCTTTTTAAATTGCAAGGAAAACACATTTCTTTCTCTTTTCTCAATGATAAGCATAATCAAAGCGAAGCCACCACCATAGGAATCCATTTTTATCCTATAGCAATTTATTTTTATTTTCCTACTTCAAATCATTGATATTATTGAAAATCATCATAAAGCTTATTGATTAGCTTTGATGGAAAATTATGTCCAACAGTGGAAAAGGATGATTAATTAATTGGGCTCGCTTGCATGAAATTCTGAAATCACATCACAAATTCTCCTTTAAAATATTAACCACTCTTTTATGTTTTGCTTTTCATCCTGGGACTGCTTTCTTGACTATTTCTTAGTTGTGTTTTCTCATTAAGGTTTTTTGCGTAGGCATATTGATTCAAAAATATGGTTTCGGATGTGGTGCTTCAATGGTTGTGATTTGTTAAACATTATTTCTTTTTTGTTTGAAATTGCAAATGTTGATCGGACGCAATTGATAATCTTGATTCTTGCATCTTTTGAGTAAAATTTAGGTTCTTGAGACAGCTGATGATCTAGGAGAAGTTACAGAAAAGGTAGACTATTACGTTCAGGGGACTACAGTAGCTGCAGGCAACTTATTTGGAAGGTACTTCCCTCTAAAAAATTATAGCAATAACTTTTAACTGAATTATTTTTATTATCTAGAACTTCATCTTTTCTTGTAATAATGCTGTTTGGAGTTGGTTATGCAATAAATGTCTTTTTAATTTACTAAGTACATTTCTTGTTGGTCAGATGAATATTTTTTATACATATTTAAAGATTACTTCTCTTAATTTGTTTGATTGCGGTTAAAGATTGTAGTTCTGATTCACTTTAGCATTATTCTCCTGCTTTGCATTATTAGCTATCTATGTTGGTGTATTTATGTGCTTGTATGAAGATATTTAGGGTTCTGCCTTTTCTATTTATTTTTCGACCAGTGAGATTTCAAAGTGAAATATCTAGCCAACTTTTGAAGAGAAAAATGATCATTTTTAATGATTTTTTTTTAGGGTAAGATTGATTAGGGTTGTTTCAGCACTTTTCATTATGGTTTCTATGCATCAAAGAATGTTGAAGGCTTTGACTGCCCTCATAAAAACTTATTATTATTATTATTTTTTGTTTAAGTTTCTATTACTCTTCGTGAGAACCAGTTAGCTTGAAGTCCTTGATGCACCAATGCAAATCCAAATTTTCAAAACTACATGCAGTTATTTATCACAATTTTTTCTTACTGTTCAAATGGAGGTGAAATCTTGGTCTTGATTTGAATACTGTCTTTTGGTGTTAATGAGTAGTATCCTTTTAAGCGGTTTCCTTTTTTCCTACACGCACATCTTCACTCCATCTACTTCAACGAATTAGAATAATGGTATGGCCCTTCAATATACACTCTGATTTTTTTCCAGTACATAGTAAAATAATTTTATGATACTAAATTTATATTTTTGCGAGCTTACTTTCTCCAATTAAATCAGAGAATGGATTGATGAACATGCTACTTGTTTTGGTGTCTATATTTATTTTGCATGTGTTCCTGCAAGTGTTGATGTGCATGTTATGAGTGATGGAGAAAATCTCGGTGGTGACCGATCAAAGATTAAAAATTTATAAATTAATTGTACTTCTGAAGAGTATCTTATCGGGCAAACAAAATAATGGAAATATATAATAAGGTGCTTTGGATTGGCTAACCATGGCGTGGATTGTCAATATTTGCAATGTTATAGTTTTAATCCAAGTAGTGTTGCGTTATTTTTAGAATGTTTGCAGTGATATAGTGGATCTTATGAAACTTAACTGCTTGTCCACTTAACATATTGCTTTTTGGTTTTCTGTTTTACGTTACTTGATTTGAAACGAAAGTGATGTTGTATTTTGGTTTTAATTGATTTGACAACTGTACAACGTGTGCCCATTCTTGTAATTGATACTGATTTTAAAAAATGGATTGCTTTGGTGTCTATTGATAGTTAATACGGTTCTGATATTTTGTTTATTGAAGATAATTTTGTCCAAATTTTCCATCAAAGTGACCATAAAGTTCCTCATACTCAATTACTTCAACAATATGCATTTTATTTTTTTCTCAGCATAGATTACAAATTTTGCAGGCGTCGAGTTGTTCAAGTTTTTGCAAGAGGTGCTCGAATTCTTGATGGTTCTTACATGACCCAGGAGTTGTCCTTTGGTGGGCCTAATTCTGATCATAGTTCCACTCCGGAATCTTCAACAGTTTCTTCTGCTTCAATTGCAGATCCATATGTATTGCTTAAGATGGTTGATGGGAGTATCCAGCTTCTAATTGGAGGTATATGTAACCCCCATTTTATAACTTGTCGAAACAGGCCTTTTGACATGATAAATTCGAGTTGTATAATAGTGCAATTTAACTTCTAAAGGAGATGTCATCAAAACTGATACTTTTTGTTTATTTATGCTGTATTTTTTTCTGCAGATCTTTCGACTTGCACTGCATCTATCTATGTGCCATCCATACCAGCTAACTCAACTGATTCAGTTTCCGCTTGCACGCTTTATACTGACGATGGACCAGAGCCATGGCTTCGCAAAGCGAGTACTGATGCATGGCTTTCCAGTGGAATTGCTGAGACAATTGATGGGCATGATGGATCAAACCATGAACAAGGGGACATATATTGTTTGGTTTGTTATGAAAGTGGCACCCTTGAAATATATGATGTGCCCAATTTCAAATGTGTTTTTTCTGTTGATAAGTTTGTTTCCGGTAAGTCACATCTTGTTGACAGATCAGTTAGAGAACCTTCCAAACCATACCAGAAAATGAGGAGTAAAATTAGTAATGAGGCTAGCGACTTGGGAAGGAAGGAACCTCTTGAAAACATGAAGGTTGTTGAGTTGGTCATGCAAAAGTGGTCCGGTCAATATTGTCGACCATTTCTTTTTGCTGTTTTAAATGATGGGACAATGCTTTGCTATCACGCATACTTATATGAGGGTCTTGAAAGTTCTTCTAAATTTGAGGAAGTAATGTCATCAAATAATTCTACTGATCCTTCTAGCATAAGCACATCAAGCTTCAGGAACTTGAGATTTATCCGTGTGCCAACTGATTTCACTGCACGAGAAGAACCTTCAAATGTGGTTATGCAACCTAAAATCACAATTTTTAAGAACATTGCTGGTTATCAAGGGTTATTCCTTTCTGGGTCAAGGCCAGCTTGGTTTATGGTTTGCAGGGAACGCCTTAGGTTTCACCCTCAGGTATATACTAACATGAATTTCATTTACCCTTTCATCGTGTAATGCCCTTCAAAGAGTTTTTATAAATTTATTTTTGCATCTACATCTGGTTCCATTTATAGATTGTATACAGCTAACCTCTTCGTTCCATTATGTTCGATTTATTTATATATTTATTATTATTTTTTGTTGTTGTTGTATTATATGGTAGCATAGTTGATAGCAGAGTTAACCCAAATGATAATGGAAATAAAAATTTTAATATTGAATTTAAATAGAGATTACAACCAAAGATACTTGGAAACAGGAAATAGGAAATAACAAAAGACAACACAACTTAGGTCGAGGGCAGTGGTGCTACGATTTAAGGAGAAATGGAAAATATGGAAGGCTTGATGATCAAAAGGCATCGAGGGAAGGTAGCGGCTGGCTGTCAGATGGATTGAAGGTGGGCTGCAGCAAGTGAGGAGGAAGGCAGCAGCTGGGAAAGAAAGTGGCTGCAGCAGGCAAGACAATGGCTAGTTGCTGGAAGGGTGGCGGTGAGGTTTGTGCAGAGCTGTGGTAAGGTGGTTGCAGCAGGGAAGGTTGTGGCAAAGTGCTGGGAGGATTGTGGTAGGCTCATGACGACAAGGAAGGTGGCTGGAAGGGATGACAGCAAGGTGGAAGGTGGCTCGGTGGTAGGCGGTTGCATAAACATCAAAGAGGTTGTTTTTCGGGTAGCTGCAGCAAATATGGCGACGGTGGCAGACGTAAGGATGTGGGGGAAAGAAGTTTGAGATAAATATCCTCTCGAGAGTGAGCTACAGGGGAAGGGAAGTTGGAGATAAATACCCTCTCAGGAGTGAGGGAGTGAGCTGTGGCCAGAGCACTACTCAACCCTCAGAGGGTAACCAACACCTCGGAACTAGATACAACTCTAGCAGCCCTCGCCCTTAGATGCAACCTTAGATGAGAAAACAAAGGACACCAATTGCTGTCCTGACGAAAATACAATAAAAAAATGACTTAAAACATAAAAACACCATACTTATAGCCCTAAGAGTAACTACAGAGTGACCCCACTAAGTGGCGGCAAACCCAAAAGGAAAGGGCTGGCTGAGTCTCACAGATGAGAATAACTTTGAATCGGTTTGATCCAGGTAGCTGGTGAAGCGGTCGCTCTGCTCCTGTGTCACATGCGTTATGCCTTGCATCAGTCTCTTAGTTTTGGGGGAGATTTGAACTCATTCGTCGAAGCTTCTGTCTACATGTTGAAGGTACCGAGTTGTTGTAATCTCTTGGTGAAGGATCTTCGACTGCGGTCCGAGAAGCACCTTGATTTCAATGGCGACAACAACACCAGAGTTTTCTCCACTTGCGAGCATAAATCCATAGCGGTCCAACCTTATGGGGTTACACTATTGAACTGAAATGAAACTTTGTGTCACATTTCTATTGGTGCCTCTCATAGCTCCCCTAGGTTGGCTCAGCCTGATCTGAAGTGAGGACAACTTCAACCTCCTCAAAAGATGTTGACCATGGCAGTAAGATATTGAGTAGAATGTCCTGAAACTCTCTTGGTAATGGCTACTCTTTGTCTGAAACCTATGCTTCTATCTCGATATCTTCTGTTATCACCATGACCGATCCTACTTGAGCTTCTCTGCTGGTAAGGCCACCTATGATCTTGAACTTCACAGAAGGTAGAAGGATATGCACTTGTCATCTTAGGTGAAGTAGGTGTTCCTAAACCCGTCATGTTGAGTTATGCTATCAAACTACCATGCTTTGCTCAACAAAATGTGGCTGGCATTTATTGAGACCATGTTGCACCATACCTGATTCGACAACTGGTTCATTATCGAAAGTTTCACGAGACACCTCTTGTCAATGTTGACCTTATTCTAGCTTCAACCACATCAGAGTATATGATTGAGAATGTCTGTGAGCCGTGAGGCTGAATTTATCTACCACATTCATAGATGCTATGTTATTGCTGCACCTTTCATCAATGATGAGTCTACATACGTTTCTCTTTACAATGCAACTGCTATAGAATATATTGTGCCGAAGTCAATGCTATTCCCTCGTAGCCTCAATTCGGAGGACCCTTCAAACCACAAGCATCTTTGATGCGGGATGCAAAATGCAGGATACGGGGTGCGGAGGCGCAATGCTCACACGACGACTTAGATGCCGCACGCAGACCAGTTCTATCTAGGGGAAAAAGAATCAAATGGTTCTCCATTGCACACGATTCCTTCCTACTTGGAGCAAGACCCACTCATCTTTACCCTAATAGCATATATACATTATTGTCGTGTTTTTAGGTTAGTTTTTCGCTTTAGATTTCTGCTGTCGACGTTGTTTTCCTTTTTTAGGGCTATATTTGAGGACAAACAGTGCTCTAGTTGTATCATGCTCCAAGTTGGTGATTATCTCCTTACTTTCCTCCCTCTCCCATGCTCCCCTAGTCGCTGTCACACCTTTCTTCCACTGTCAAACCACATTTGCTTGTTGCCACACGCTCCAACCATTCTCTGTTTGTTGCCACTCTCTCCAATGCCTCTCCTTCGGCTGTTGCACCTTTCTGCAGCCCCCTGCTTGTTGTCCAGCGCAAGATCACTTTTCCCTCGCTATCGCTAAGACTCTCTACCGCCTACAATTCTCTGTTTCCACATCCTCGACCTGCAGCCTACTACCTTTAATCATCGTCCTAGGTGGTTTTTGTGTTTGCATCATTATTTTTTCTATTTTCAAGTGTCTTTATTTGTATTCCCCTTTTCAACAATAATAATTTTCATTTCGTTGCCTTTTTGGTCAACTCCGATATCATTTTTTATTAGTGCTGGCATACCCTAGTACTTTTCTAGGGTTTTTAGCCTTCCTAAACATCTCTCGCCAAAAGTTTTCTTTCTTGCCCTAAAGCCTCTTTTCCACTCCCACCAATTCAAAACCCTAATTGTGCCACGTGGGAGATGCATACCCAAGCTTATCCAAGAATAAATACAGTGAGAGATCTATTGACTACAATAGAGCCTCACGAAGATTGATGATGAGACTTGAGGGGAGATAACATTCGATCATGATATGGAGAGTCGAGGGGAGAAAGGGACGAGAATTCAAACTTCTTCCATAGGGAGAATTTAAGTGAGGAAGACAGACTACCGCACTTTAGAATTAATTATCAGAGGAGGCCAAGAGAAAAGACAATGCATGGAGGACCAATATTGCAATATATTGATGGATTTACTGCAGATCGATGGAACTATGAATCCAAAGGTTTTCATCAAATTGATACAGCCGGTTGAGAGAATTTTTTAGTACAAAGAGGTGCCGGAAGACGAGGGTGAAGCTTGTGGCCATCAAATTGAAAAAGAGAGCCTTTGTGATGGAAACATTTGTAGAGACAAAGAAAGAGAGAAGAGAGTGACAACTTACCAGATGGGAGAAGGTGATGAAGAAGAAGCAGATGAAATACTTATCATCGTTAAGATATTTTTCTGAGGCTCCATCACTTATAATAGAGAAATCAATCAGTGGAAGGCTCCAATATGTTAGAAATGAGAAGCTTGTCAATTCAGTAGTGTACCCACAAACATATGACCAGTTAGGAGGGATGAACCATAATTTTGGAAATTGTCTTAGGAGCTTAGTTGGGAAGAAATTTCTATAAGGGGTTCATGCCCTACTAGAGAAGAAGAAGCCTTTCCCCAGTGGTTGATATTGAGAGTTGCCCATCTCACCATATTAGAGTTTGTCCCAGAGTTTAATCCTCCTTGCACACTTGTTTATCAGATACACTTAAACGAGTTCAATGAGTGGAAGAAGCCAATAAAAAATTTATTGGCTCGAAATTTTGTCCGTGATGATACCCTTCCACGCACATTTCTAGTTTTGGTTGTGCCAAAAGAGAACGAATACCTGCTCTATCAGGATATGCATGGCATTACTTACAAGATTTACTTGTTGAAAGATTACAACATTTCCGCGACTTTCAACGTTTTTAACTTGACTATATACTAAGAGAAAATAGAAGCTTCGATGAATGGGGTTGAAACTCCCAAAACCCTGAGAGATTGGCGCGGACATTTGTTACCTACAAGACGTGACGTAGGCGTCTGTTCGACGGGGGATGGCGCCATGCGTGACACAGATTGTTCGGTCCGAACGAGTCAAGGGTCTACTGTCCTTCCAACTTACTTGGGATTACTGCCCACCCTATGCGGACCACTTCTGGGTCTATAAGTTTGTTGTTTTGGTGTTCTTTATTTTGTTTATGTCTGGAAAGCCGTCGACGTTCCCATGTTTTCCTAACTGGGGTTGTATCTAAGGGCAAGTAGTGCTCTGAGTGTATCTCATTTTGAGGTGGTGATTGTCCTCCAAGGTAGAGTGGTGCTCAAGCTATATCTCGCTCTCGAGGTGGTATTTATATCCAACTTTCTTTGCCTCGCATCCGAGCCATCACTCCCGACCTCCCCTTCCCTGCTGTAGCCAACTGTAACATCCTCTCTTTGTTGTTTTCTGCAGTTCTTATTGTCCAGCCGCTTTTCCTCCTCTTCCTTCCTTGCCACTGCCACATAGAACAACATCTCGTTGCAGTTCCTTTGTTATCCTTCTGCAAAACTAGCCGTCAGACACCCCTTATGTTGTTTTCTGGAGCTTCCACCCTTCCACAACCTTCCCACGTCATTCTCAATCGTCGTTCCTTGCTGCCATCATCCGGAAAACGACAAACCTGTTGTTTTCCTGTTGTCCAACTGCTCCTCACTAGCTACCACTCCCAACAAGCCTCTCCAACCGTTGTTGTACTTCATCCCAATGCCTATACCATAGTTCCCACCACTTGCCACCCGTTACAAATTCCTTGGCCGTTCAACACCATACCTGGATCGAACTCTAGTGTGAGTTTGTGTCGTGTCTAGTATTATTTTTTCTTTAAGTGTGTTGGTTGTAACCAATTATTTGTTTTTAAGTAATAATATTTGTTTGTTTATTATTGTGTCACGACCTGACCTAGATTGTGGCATTAATCAAGGCCC